TTCACTAGTCCAATCTCTCAACATTACTAATGTAATGAAATCATATAATAATCCCTCAAATATGGCAAAGAATTGCTCCAAAATTTATAGTGCCATTGAAGAAAGTAGGATGAAATCACGTAGGTAGTAAACCACCTCAAAGTTGTGTTTCCACTCAATCAATTGAACCACCCCAAAGTGTCACAAATAGTTCTAGAGATTTTACTCCGGCAACACCATATGATATGCATTAATCAACTCGAATGTCACTTAGATACCGCAATGTCACCACGAGTATCTGCAAGTGAGATATGCATCAAGTGATCTCAAATCTAATGTATTCAATCCAATAACAAAGAAACCTCAAAAAGAATGATTCAATTCACCGCAAAAGAGATAGAGGGGAAGAACACCATATGATCCAACTATATTAACAAACCACATGGTACATTAAGATTGTGTCCTATCAAGATCAAAAGAGAGAGAGAGATCAAACACATAGCTACTAGTACATACCCTTAGCCCCGAGGGTGAACTACTCATGCATCACCATGGAGGCAGCAAGGATGATGAAAGTGGCCTCCGTGATAGTTTCCCCCTTCAGCAGGTTGTCGGAAAAGGCCTCTAGATGAGATCACTTTGGAACAGAGGCTTGTGGCGACGAAGTAAAAGTTCTAGGTTACTTTCTAGGGGTTTCTCGATTTATGGAATTTTTCAGCGTTGGAATCACGCCAAAAGGAGTTTCAAGGGGCCCACAAGATCAGATGGCACTTCTGAACCCCTAGGGCGCGCCATGTGAACTTGTGGCATCCTCCTGGGTCTTCTGGTCCTTCCCTGAAGCTTCGAAGGTCTCTTATGTTCTAAAAAAATCACCGTAAATTTTTATCGCGTTTGGATTTCGTTTGGTATGGTTTTCTGCAGAACAAAGGAATAGACAAAAAATAGGAATTGGCATTGGACACTAAATTAATAGGTCAGTCCACAAAAATAATATAAAAGTGCATCAAAACCATATATAACTGATGTAAATATAGCACGAATACTTCATAAATTATAGACATGTGGGAGACGTTTCAGCTCGCTATGTAGCTAGCCAAATTACTAGATAGATTTGGCAGAAGCTAGCTAAGCATCATGCCTTCCTCTAAATAAGTAGGTAAAACTCATGTTTTGATGGAAAGATAATACTTCTTAAGAGAATAGAAACGGACATATAAGATATACAGTTGGAGCTGGCTCTCACATCACTGTTCGTGAACTTGTCCCCTGTCCGTGAACGAATGCGGGAGCGAATTTGCTGGTTAGTATTGGATATGCCCTAAGACGCTGGTTGTATGTGGAGCATTGTTCGCTTTTCTGCTACTGCATTGAACAAAAATGGATGAGGCACGACGGATGGCAATGCAGCCTGCCCTACTTGGAGACAAAAAGGTTATCGCAAAACTATGTTTAAGGGTCTCCAGTGCTGACTTTTAAACTGCACTTATCCATGTGTATCGAGTAGTCTGGACGTCGCAAGTCATCCAACGCAGTAACTTATTGATCCAGACTCCGTTTTCCCTCAAATCGGAAGCAAACCTGGGAGCTTTGCAAGCGTTCAGACGGCTGCCACATAGTCGTTCGACACCCCGGTCCCACCCAAAATCCTCTCCCGCTCAAAGTGGTTGCCACACATTCATGTCGCTCGAGAGCGCCAACACCGCATTCATGTCGGCCCAGAGCGGACGCGGCCTCTCACTGGTGCCGGCATTAAAGCGGAGTATCAGCCGGGAGCACCACCCGCGTGATGTCCCGTTCTCCGTGTTTGTTCAATGTCGAAGCTACGTGAGTGGACGAGATGAGACTAATATCTTCTACATTCAACCGGACACCCTGTCTGCCCGCATGCGAGCATTAAACATTCACGCCGGTCAAGAAACCCTCTCTGGTGCAGGCATGGACACACTCCACTGCTTGGCCTAGCCGACATCCTCTATTTAAACGAGGCAACGCCCGACACAAACCGCAATACACAATCGGCCTGCTTCACGTCATTCTCCATACACCACCTCCACCATGACCGCAAATTGTACCGCGTTATGGGAGAGCCGAACAGAAGCATTAGCTATCTGCCCTTGCAGGAGACTGGTAGGGCTGTCGTGCAAGGTCGATATAAAGGTTGTCCTACCGGCTAGCTCCCCAGATGTCTTCAACGATGACCGGATGATGGAGGCGGCATCCAACAGTGAGTCGGCAATCCTATCCGCACTGTTCCATACCGGCTTGAACCATGGACCAGGCGCATGCACAATTCAACACCGCTATGGCGGAGCAACGAGAGCCACATCGGTCGGCGTGAGAGGAGGCCATAGCGGACATGACTGTGGAGAACCCCAAGTTCGTTGCCGAGCAGTGGAAGCTATACGAGGCCGCACACCCTTGTGCCGCCTACAACCAGGGCATGGCGCAGGCAGACGTGGAGGCGGTGCTGACAGCGCAGGCAGTCATGAACGAGAATGCCAACAGTTGTGTGGCGTTTGCGCCATCAACTGTTCTTCGTTGGCGCAACTACGATGACAAGGCTACCCCATTGACGTCATCGTCGACCTCATATCCACTAGTGACGGACATGTCATGGACTCCGACGAGGAGTAGTGCTTGGGAGGCGGCGGGGCCTGAGTCCCAATTCGGTCAGTCTGTCTCACATGTCCTAACTTCGTCCTAGGCGACCACAACTTCACTTCACGGATCTCATATTTGTCGGACATGCACACGGCCACCTGACATGGGCATGGAGGGGAACTACAAGGACTTGGAGGACGGCCGCCGCCGTAGATTTAGACTAGGTTTAGTCACTTTTGTATAGTAAAATATGTCAAAAATGTAAAAAATGTGCTTCGGTTTAGATGAGAATCCTCCGGTTTCCATGTAATTCGTCAAATTTGTTGAAATCCGGTTTAAAATGTATGCAGACATAATTGGATGACCGGCTCCTGCATCAGTGTCCGCGGGGTAGAGCATTTCTAGCAGATCCTGCAACCGGCCGTCCCGCAAAACTCGTTTACGGTATCCCAGAAATGATTTTTGCAAGACATCGGAAGCTTAACCATAATAGATCCTTCATATCGATACCTCATATTCAAACTTGCAGTTCGCGCTTAAACTAGATCACGGGAGTTCAAACATAGCGTACCGGAGTTCATACTACATACCATACCGGAGTTCATAGCTAATACGAACGGAAATTAAACACTTCATAGTTAAATGTGGTGCATACTACATACTAGATCTACTCATCGCCATCATCGCTGTCATCGTCGTTGCCGGCGGTTGCCGTGGAGGTGGTGGTACATGAGGGTGCTGGAGAGGACTTGTGTGAGCTGGTACTCTTCTAACAGCTTCATCTCCAGTGGCGGCGACCTCCTTGGCCTCGAACCACGCCTTCTCCGCCTCCTAGCGACGTTTGAGCGCGGGGAAGAAGATGTGGTCGAGGCGCTGGAAGTTCCTCCACGCCCGTGCGCCGGTGCCGCGGATGCGCGCCTGCTCCTTCCACCAATCCTCCACAGGCAGGTGGAGGGAGAAGCTCCCGGCCTCCGTGTCGTTGTGGCGCTTGTGGGGCAGGTCGCCGTCGAGCCTCCCGCGGCCGTCGTCCCCCCGCGCCTCGCGGCCGCCGAGCCCCTCTCGGCCGCCCCTCCCGGATCCCGCGCACGACATCTCCTCTCGCCTTGGGTGCCTAACCTTGCCAAAAAACTACGCCAGAAGTCACTTGATTTTGTCGTTGGAGTGAAAGCAACGCTGCCGGGGCGGGCGGGGGAAAAGAGGGATGAGAACCCTAAAATGTCCCAGAGCCAGTATATATACCAGAATTGCAGGTGGTTTCGGGTCCTCCTGTAAAGGTTTTACGGGCCGGGCCGTTTTTACCAGACCTGGTCGGGCCGGATTTTTTGACCATGCCGTAAAACCACCGGAAAAAAGCTACACAACACATGCACATGCATAACACGCTGCATCGAAATCCATTCCGTTTGTGCAACTACAATTAGGACGAATAAAAATTAGCAGGATGCCAATCATGTCAGCAAATGGAGCAGCACCTCGCTCCAAGCGTCGACGGGGCCGGGCAGGCACCAGTGCACGCAGTCGATGCCGAAGCCGACCTTCTCGTGCGGCCAGTGCCCGTACTGCCCGGGGTGCCCGTCGCCCCTCATCTGCATCATCTCGCTCACGTCCATCAGCACGAACCTCCCCGCCGCCGACGCGGCCCGGAACTCCTCCACCTGCGCAGCGTGGAACGCGACCTCGGTCTCCGGAGGACTGCTCTCGTCCATCAGCACGAACCTCCCCGCCGCCGACGCGGTCCAGAACTCCTCCACCTGCGCGACGTGAAACGCGGCCTCGGTCTCCGGTAGACTGGTCTCGTTGCTCCGCATGGGCCCCGTCCTCAGGCAGTTTCCTCCGTCGTACCATTTGCCGTTCTCGTAGTGCGGGGGCGCCACCGTCCGGACGACCACCCGGCCGCGGAACCCGGCGAGCGCCCGGAGCGCGGTCCGGAACGACGCGCGCACCGCGTAGTGCGGGGCCACGGCGGTGGCGTTGTACTTGGCCTCGCAGCCGTCGAGGTTGGCGCAGCCGAGGAGGCGGCCGCCCTCGTAGAGCACGGTGGGGCGGGTGAACCACTTGGCGCCGTTGAGGACGACGTAGTCGTAGCCAGCGACGTCGCGGCTCCACTCCGGGTCCGGCTCGTCCAGGTACACGTTGTGCGGGTCCATGAACTGCTGCCCGCCGGCGCGCGTCAGGTTCCACCGCACCAGGAACGGCGTCCAGAACACGCACACCGTGAAGTCGTGCTCCCGGTAGTGGTACTTGCGCGTGCAGTGCACGCAGTCCTTGGGCTCGATCTCCCTCGGGTGCTCCACCTGCATGCACATGCGCGCGCCGGGCGGTAACCGAGAAATCAACACACGCGATCGAGCGAGCTCAAGATGGCAACGCAACGGTGATCGATCTAGTGGAAGTGGGCATGTACCTCGGCGAGCAGGCACATGAGCGACTGCATGTGGTTGCGCGCGACGGAGTCCCCGACGAAGGCCATGGACTTGCCGCGGACGAGGCGGAGGAAGGCCGCGGCGTCGAAGCGGGGGAGGTCGCAGCCGTGGGGTTGCCACCGCCACCGGAGGATGGACTCGATACCGGGCTTGCCGTACTTCATGCAGTCCTGCCGAGCGTCGATCAGCGGGCACGTCGCGTTGGTGTAGTAGGGCGCGGCCGGGTCGGGCACCCACTCGCCCTTGGCCACGTCGCACGCCACTCCGGCATTGCTGTCGCTCGCGCGGGATCCCGCCGCGGCAGTGGAGGAGGCCAGGATGACGGGCACGCCGACGAGCAACTGCTCGGTGTAGAGCGCCGAGTAGTTGGACGCCGTGAAGGCGACGAGCAGGAGGATGAGGAGCAGCCCGCTGGTGGAAGCTGCCCTCCGGACGACGTGGTTGTTGGGCTTCATTGCATCCCAAAGACCCAAACTCACCGGGAGGCAGATTCAGTTCATGGTTCACTCTTGTAGATCTCACCGGGAGATCTGGAATAATTTTGCTGTCTTGCTGGACGAACATGTGCCACTCGGTCGAGCACGTAGCTGACTACTTGAGGAAAGTCAACACTTTGAGTACTTTTCTCCAAGACGAACGACGTGCTCTGCCCATCGAGATAGCCATTCCGTCTTTCCTGAAAAACGTATCAGAGCGTATCGGATCGACTAGCTGTAGTACTACAAACGGGAACATATCTAATCTAGCGTCTCCTGCAAGGGCTCTCCATTCTTCTCTCGTGCCTCCCTTCCCTTGCATTAGAGCATCTTCAATGAATGATGTATATGCGAACCAACATGTAGTTGAATGGTTAGAGGGACTGTGGTATTCCCAGCCCATCAGGGTTTCAAATCTTGGTGCTCGCATTTATTCCCGAATTTATTTTATGATTTCCGGCGATGCGCATTTACGACAAGGCGCCTACGGTGACTTCGTAAATCTCAAGATGGTATGCCGGATCAGTCTTTCGAAGATGCTCATAGTGGTAGGGTGTGCGTGTGTGCGTTCATAAGAGTGAGTGTATGCGTGTCTATATGAGCACTTGTGTCTGTACTGATATTAAAAAAATGAATGATGCATATTTAAATATACGAAATTGCTAGACATACGGGTACCTACACACCCATACGGAACCCGCTTTGCCAACTGAAATCCAACTATAAACTTTTACGTGTAAAACCCCGTATAACCCCATACGTGTAGCATTGCTCTTAAAAGATGTAAAAGTGAGTGATGTATAATTTACATCACCAAAACATGTTTTTTAATCATAAAAGGATCCAACTCCAGCAGATGATGTATATTTAAAGATGTAAAACTACTAATCCAACAGATGGTGCATATTTGAAGATGTAAAATGGCCGACGGCCGCGGCAGCCTACAGCCGCAGTCTTTCGGATCAAAATCATCATATAGATATATAAAAAATGAGGAATATTTTCAGATTTATCATGAACTCAACTTCCATAGCAAACATAGTACATAATCTAACAAAGAAAAAAGTGCATCATATCAAACAAAGTTCTTGGTCCAGCAAATTAAAATGCACATAAAGATAACATCAAACATATCATCTCAACTTTCATCCTCTTCTTTGTCACTTGTCACATTATGTACATCGGCATTATCATCAATGGCTTCTTTGTCAACATTTTCATGGTTGATGCATCGATGTTGCCACCTCCACCGGAAGCACCTCTCATGCCACTCATGTTGCCACCGAAGCCACCTCCCATGCCACACATGTTGCTACCGAAGCCACCTCCCATGCCACCCATGTTGCCACCGAAGCCACCATCCATGTTGCTACCAAAGGCACCTCCAATGTTATGACCGAAGGCACCACCCATGGCACCTCCCATCATGTTCATGTAGCCACCCATTCCACCGCCCATGGCACCTCCCAATCCTCCTCCCACTCCACCCATGGCACCTCTCATTCCTCCTCCCATCATGTTTCTCATGAACATTTGCTTCTTCATTATCATTTCATCGCGACAAAGCTCAACATACGCCTTTGATTTGAGGTAGAGGCCACTTGTGTCCATGAACATAAACTTGAGTGCCTTCTCCACCATCCTGGGATCATCAGCGGCCACCATTCTCTCCTCTAGTTCAACCTTTCTATCCTTGGTTGCCGCCAACCTCTCCTCGGCCATCGCCCTCTTCTCCTCGGTCACCGCCCTCCGCCGCTCGGTTTCCCCCTTGTCGTGGTGATCTCACGGTAGATGCCATGGGATGGCTAAAGGTGGGGATAGACGCAAGGGCACCAGTGGGTTTGAGGGAGTCCTGGATTAGGGGGTGTCCGGATAGCCGGACTATAACCTTTGGCCGGACTCTCGGACTATGAAGATACAAGATTGAAGACTTCGTCCCGTGTTCGGATGGGACTTTCCTTGGCGTGGAAGGCAAGCTTGGCAATACGGATATGTAGATCTCCTCCCATTGTAACCGACTCCGTGTAACCCTAGCCCTCTCCGGTGTCTATATAAACCGGAGGGTTTTAGTCCATAGGACGAACAACAATCATACCATAGGCTAGCTTCTAGGGTTTAGCCTCTCTGATCTCGTGGTAGATCTACTCTTGTACTACCCATATCATCAATATTAATCAAGCAGGACGTAGGGTTTTACCTCCATCAAGAGGGCCCAAACCTGGGTAAAACATCGTGTCCCCTACCTCCTGTTACCATCCGGCCTAGACGCACAGTTCGGGACCCCCTACCCGAGATCCGCCGGTTTTGACATCGACATTGGTGCTTTCATTGAGAGTTCCTCTGTGTCGTCACCTTTAGGCCCGATGGCTCCTCCGATCATCAACAACGATGCGGTCCAGGGTGAGACCTTTCTCCCTGAACAGATCTTCGTGTTCGGCGGCTTTGCACCGCGGGCTAATTCGCTTGGCCATCTAGAGCAGATTGAAAGCTACGCCCTTGGCCATCAGGTCAGATTTGGAAGTTTGAACTACACGGCCGACATCCGCGGAGACTTGATCTTCGACGGATTCGAGCCACAGCCGGGCGCGCCGCACTGTCACGATGGGTATGACCTAGCTCTGCCGCCGAACAGTACCCTAGAGGCCGCGCCAGCATCAGCTCTGACCCTTAGCTCAGAGCCAACTGCGCTGATCGAGGACGGGTGGCTAGACACCGCCTCGGGGGCTGCAGTCTCAACGGCGATCGAGCCGAACACCAGCCTCATCCTCTGCGAAGCCCGTGACTCCAAGGTGCTGGACTCTTTTCCGGACTCCGAACCTTCCGCGCCCCTGCCAATCGAATCCGATTAGGCGCCGATCATGGAATTCACCGCCGCGGATACCTTTCAGCACTCGCCCTTCGGCGACATCCTGAATTCACTAAGATCTCTCTCTTTGTCAGGAGAGCCCTGGCCGGACTATGGCCAACAGGATTGGGATGCGGACGACGAAAAAATTCGACGCCCACCCACCACCCACTTCGTAGCCACTGTCGATGATTTAACCGACATGCTCGACTTCGACTCCGAAGACATCAATGGTATGGACGACGATGTAGGAGACGAACATGAACCAGCGCCTATCGGGCACTGGAAAGCCACCTCGTCATATGACATATATATGGTGGATACACCCAAAGAAGGCAATGGCGACGGAACAACAGGGGATGACCCCTCCAAGAAGCAACCCAAGCACCGGTGTCAGCGGCGCCGCTCTAAGTCCCGCCAAAGCAAAAACGATGATGTCGGCACGGGAGATAATAACACCCCGGATAGTGCCGAAGACAATTCCCTCCAGCAAGATTTAGCGTAGGAGGATGGAGAAGCCAGCCCCCCTGTGAGAGCGGCAGACAGAGAAGAAGAGGATGATAATTACATGCCTCCCTCCGAAGACGAGGCAAGCCTCGGCGACGACGAATTTGTCATGCCTGAGGATCCCGTCGAACAAGGGCACTTTAAGCGCAGGCTTATGGCCACGACGAGTAGCCTTAAGAAAAAACCGCAACAACTTAGAGCTGATCAAGACTTGCTAGCCGACAGATGGACGGAAGTCCTTGCGGCCGAGGAATACGAACTCGAACGCCCCTCCAAGAGCTACCCAAAGCGCAGGTTGCTACCCCGTTTAGAGGAGGAAGCACTTAAACCTACATCACCAGCGCATGATGCGGCTGACCGGCCACCTCGCGGCTGCAACAGAGAGTCCTCCCGGCCCTCCACTCACGCCGCACACCAGCGTCGCTCAAAAAATACCAAGGCACGGGGAAATGCGCTAGACCTGCGAGATATGTTGGAAGACAGGGCAAGGCAAACAAGATCGATCTACGGATCGCGCGGGTGCCCCACGACACGAGACGATAACCGTCACGCCGGATACAGTAAATCCGGCTGGGCCGAACACAGCAGACAAAGCTCATTTGAGCTACGTCGTGATATAGCCAAGTACAGAGGCGCCGCACACCCACTATGATTCACAGATGAAGTAATGGATCATCAAATCCCAGAGGGTTTCAAACCCATAAACATTGAATCATACGATGGCACAACAGATCCTGCGGTATGGATCGAGGACTATCTCCTTCATATCCACATGGCCCGTGGCAATGATCTACACGCCATCAAATACCTCCCACTCAAGCTTAAAGGACCAGCTCGGCATTGGCTTAACAGCCTTCCAGCAGAATCAATTGGCTATTGGAAGGACCTAGAAGCCGCATTCCTCGACAATTTCCAGGGCACTTATGTGTGATCACCAGACGCCGATGACCTGAGCCACATAATTCAGCAGCCAGAAGAATTTGCCAGACAATTCTGGACACGGTTCCTAACCAAGAAAAATCAAATCGTCGACTGTCCGAACGCAGAGGCCCTAACAGCCTTCAAGCATAACATCCGTGACGAGTGGCTTGCCCGGCACCTTGGACAGGAAAAGCCGAAATCTATGGCAGCCCTCACGACACTCATGACCCGCTTTTGCGCGGGAGAAGACAGCTAGCTGGCTCGTAGCAATAACATGACCAAGAGCCCTGGTAATTCGGATACCAAGGACAGCAATGGCAGGTCGCGTCGCAACAAGCACAAGCACCGCATTAATAGCGACAACGCTGAAGATACGGCAGTTAATGCCGGATTCAGAGGCTCTAAGCCCGGTCAGCGGAAAAAGCCATTTAAGAGGAACTCTCCGGGCCCGTCCAGTTTGG